GAGCTTTTAATAGAATTTAAATAAGATATGGTATATTGTAGTTTGTTCACAATTAAGGCCCCAAGGCCGGAGCTGGGCTTTAAAATCCTTTTTAAAAATAATTTATTTTTAATCTGATCCTTGAAAATATTATCTAGTATGTATTATATACATACATTGAAACTGTGCTCTTTATTTCACTTTCAAATTGAACCATTTTTATTCATTAAAGGGCAAAACCGTCATCAAAGTATATATATTATGAATTATTGGTGGTGGTGTCATTAGTTGAATTGGATTAAATATAAGGTAAGACCAAATCAATAGGCCCCATAAATAATTTCATGTGATTAGGTGGGTTTGTCCAAAGCACTAGGAACTACTCACTCCTTTGTATTTTACTCATAATTTCACTAAAAATTAAATGAGGTTAGAGGCCAACATCATATATTAATTTAACAATTACTTTTATCAACTCCCTTCGTCAAAAATTAAACTCCATAATTGCAAAAGTTCAATATTTTTTTGTCCTAGATAAAAGCTTTTCTAGGAAGATTTAAGAAGAAAAATTCGAATTCATATTGGTTGTGGATTGAGAACGGGAATTAAATTCTGTAATATATGAACTCCTGTTATTTCTCGTGTAGTTTAATGATATAAGCTGAGAATTAGTCATAACTCTGAATTCTACTTTAGGAGATCCGATTGATCATTCCAAATCAAATAATTTAGAATGTTAAAGCAAAAGAGTTTGCTTTGATTGTTAAGATTAGAAGGTGATTGAAAGAATCACGTTCTCAAATTTACACTCATATTGTTTGTAAATACAGATGATAAAGAAAAAGAAAATTTCTATGTGACGTGAATGTATTGATTTGTTGTATCTGTTACATGATATTTTCAATTTTTCTATATAATGTATAAAACTTGAAACACAAAACATAGTAAATAGTGCATTGAATAATAACTAACAACATTTTCATAAAGTATACAACATTAAACATGAAACTTGTAACAAATTATATAACTAAGTCTAACACTATTGTGAGGTAGACCAATTTATACTATGATTCATTGAACAAACTATATTATATATCACAAAAAATGTCACAAAAAGTAGAGATGGAAATTTATGAGAGTAATTTCAAGTGCTGGTATGTTATAAATGAAGTTTTTATTTCATTTATCGATTTTTGTTTTCAGGTTTTAATGAATTGATCAATTTACGGATAGAATTTTTAACTCCATGCTGTTAATTTGGGTTTAGAGATGGCCTAATTTCATGGGCTTTTGGCTCAATATTGTTGGGCCGAATATAGCCGATTTGCATAAATACAGTGGTTAACTTAGCCCAAGACCAAGGCCCATTTCATATAAATTATAAAAACTAGTGATAATTTTAATAATAAGTATAATTTGTTAGTGCTTTAAAAATTTAGATTTCATTTACAATTACAAAGGAGAGAAAAATTCCAAATAAAAATGGAAATTAGATGGTATATTACGCTACTTAATTGATGTTAATCAAATTAAGAAGCTTATAAAATAGGGCTTAATTAAGTTACCCTCTTTTATTATATAGTCTCAAAATAATTTCAATCTCATATTTAGAATTGTCTATGCACTTATCTAGAACTTGAATATGATCCATATGATCACTATAAATTATGGGTGACTCTTGAAGTAATCATATTTGAGTCGTACTTTCACTTAAATGGACCGAATTATCCCATCTGGACATTATATTAATCATTAAGTAGAAATTATTGACACATTCAATTAAATGGTTGTCTAGTACAATATCGATTGTGTCAAGCACTCATCTAGTACATCCAGTGAAGCAAGCACTATTTCTTGTATGCATTTTTCTATCAACTTTTGTGGGTTTTTGCAACCAGAAGGGTTTTAAAAATATTGGTTTGTTGCCATGCATTACTACATGGGTGGATTTGTTTTGTTTTGTTTTGTCTTTTAAGGCGTTGATACTTGATAAGAATAAAATAGTTTTGTTAATAACAGTTGATTATGGTTTACTCTATTTTATGTCACAAAATTGTTGTATCTGTAAAATTACTTTTGACCCTTTGACTCAACGTGTGTTGGTAATTCTTTGAACGAGTTGGTTAATAATCAAGGGAAATAAATTTGATTTTTAATGATCTATTTTTTTTTTTTAATAAAACCCTAAATTGGTGTTTTTCGTTGTTTTGACATCAAAGAAATATCATTTTCAACTAAGGTCTTGGTTAGTATCGTTATTGGCTTATAAAAATATGGGTTCAGATCCCTCGTGTTATTTTATGTCACAAAATTGTTATATCCGTAAAATTACTTTTGACCCTTTGACTCAACGTGTGTTGGTAATTCTTTGAACGAGTTGGTTAATAATCAAGGGAAATGAATTTGATTTTTAATGATCTATTTTTTTTTTTTAATACATTTTTAAAACAAAACCCAATTGTTGTTTTATGTTGTTTTGACAACAAAGAAATATCATTTTCACTAAGGTCTTGGTTAATATCGTTATTGGCTATAAAAATATGGGTTCATCCCTCGTGTTCCTTGAAGTTTGAGATTCAATTTCTCACACCTCCAAAGGTGGTGAGAATTATCTTCACCTCCCTTCACGTTTCAAACTTGTCACTTACCTCCTTAAGCAAATTGTTAACATATTTTATTAAAAATATTAAAAGACTAAAATGCCTTTATATTACGCAGTGTAATATATTTTGAAAAACCAAAATTATATTGATGTTTAAGATACACAATAAAGGAATAAATGTAAATACATGACGTGGATAGGGATGGGCACAAAGCCCGCCCCCGGGGGGATCCGCCCTAACCCGCCCCAAACGGGCAGATTTTCCTCGAAAATTTTGGGCTTCGGGCCAGGATCGGCCCAATATTGGCCCCCAAAATTCGGGGACGGGTTGGGGCCAGGATTGACTTTGCCCCGGCCCCCCTGTCCCCGGCCCGCATATTTTATATATATAATGTATATTAATTATATATATACATATATATTTGAAAATCATTTAACATTATATAATAAAAATATTTAATTTTGTAATTTTTATGAATTATATACAAAGGTAATAATAAAACTAGATTAATATAACAAATCTTATAAATATTTGTAATATATATTATACAAATATGATAATGCTATGAAATAAAAGTTATACATTCGAAATTATATTATACATAATATATGGTATACATTTAACTTATATTATTATATATATATATATTATTATATATATTATATTATATATATATATATATATATATATATATATATATATTATATAAGATAATATACATTTGACATCATATATTATACATTATACATTGTATATTATATATGATATATACTATATAAGTATAATATATATAACATATATATGTTGTACATTATAATTTATACATAATATATTAATATGCTATTATCTAAAATCTTACGTAAATATATAATATATATGTAATATATTATTTGTTGTTTTGATTGATTATAATGAATCAATAAATTGCTATAATTTTTTTTTTTTTGTCCTTCATTAAATCATTATTTCAATTCTATTACCTAAATGCCTTTGTTATATTGTGAATTGTTATAGTTATTTATTTAGAATTTATTATAATATGTATGGTAGTTATTTATCTAAAATTTATTATAATATATATGTATAATGTATCATATATGATACATTATATTATATATTAAAGAGACATTATACATGTATACTTATTACTTAATACAATAATGCATAATATTATACTATTAATATATAATATATTTATATATATGTATAATGTATTATAATTATCATTGTGATATTTGGATTCATTATAATCATTAATCAATTTAGTATGATGGTTTTTATATTTAATATGTACATTATATATTTAATTTCTTTTTTGGTTGGTATATATAATTGGGAGAAAAAAATAATAAAAGTATAAAATTAAGGATAAAAAAAAAAAAAAAAAACCCCAAACGGGGAATTTGGGGAATCCCCGAATTCCCCGAAAGGGTTTCGGGCCGGGATCGAGGAATCCCCTCTGGCTTTGGGGCCGAGGTCGGAGATAGGGGTCCCCGGCCCCGCCCAGGCCTGTGCCATCCCTAGACGTGGATATATTTATTTATTGTATTGGTTACACAATATATTTTATTTTTACATAATAATTTACAAAATTTGTAACACAAAAGGAATTAAAAAGTGCATATTTGATTCATTGAATAAACTTATATTATATATCAAAAAAAAAAAAAAAAAAAGTTACAAATTGAGATGGAAATTTATGAGAGTAATTTCAAGTACGGGAACTGCAATTTCGTAAGACATAAATTAAGTTAATAAGAGTAAGATCTTCTTCTTTGTTATAAATGAAGTTGTTGGAGAAATAAATGAAGTTTTTATTTCATTTATTTATTTTTGTTTTCAAGTTTTAAAGAATTGATTAAAGAGGAATACGAGAAACACTCTCTTTCTTACTCTCTCACTCACCATTTGACATGTGTACAAGAAGATAAAGGAAATAAAAAAGTGAGCATTTATTGCTCTATTTTATTTGTAATTTGTCCATGTGTCAAATAGTGAAAGAGAGAGTGAAAAAGGGGGTGTTACTAGCAATCATTTTTCTAATATTATAAACACACATAAATTTTCTAGTTTGGACATCCTAACATAATTTTATGAAGACTATGCATATGTACCGTTGAATTTGAGTGGTAAAATATGATTTCAATACAATAAGCTGACTTCAACGGGATTTAAGGATGAGTCTGAGTAATAAAAAAATCTTGTCTTTTATTGAACTAGGTATAAAACACTTTTCTTTAATTGCAACATCCCAATAAGAAATCTTGTCTTTTATCTCATAGACAAATGCAGCTGAGGACCACTACTAGTTTATTCCATCAACACTTAAATGTAACAACGAAAATTATACAGAAGAAACATCGCAATATAATGCTAACTCAATCTGAAGACTAGAAAGACATCCTATAAAAAGATGTTTCAATAGGATGCCCAGGTAGATTCCATTGGTTTAGACGTTTCTATAGATGATATGGAAATGGCCGAAGTTGAGTCGAACCAGCCCAACTTTTCCAAGAAATCTTTAATTAGCTCTCCAGCTAAATACGACACACAAGATACCACAACCCCTGTGCTTAAGTAGTATAGTATTGTTTTGATATAAGATTTTGAGGGTGACTTATTAACATGACACTTAGCAATAACAAGTAGAATAATGCATATAAGAGATACACCCAGAACAACTGCTAGTTTCAGGTCCTTATTGTCACTTTCACGAAATGAGAAGCCATAGATTACAGGTGGCAGCAACCCAAAAAAGAGGAAGGATATGACTGCTAAGCTTGCCTGAAGTGGGAAGTTTCCTCTTCGTCCAAGTAGTTTTTGATATTGACCTTCGTCTTCATACCATTGATGTCGCTCATTTTTCAATTCTCTAAGCTGTATATAAATTAAACCCCACTGTAAGTTCCATATTTAGACATATATGAGGGCTTAAAACATTGATCAAAACTATGACATATGACAACAAATGATCATATAGCTTGAAGGGTTCAAGTTCTACGTTTAGCAAAATAATCAAATTCCAGAAATGATATTTAGCCACTGGATGGAAAAAATAGTAAACCAACGAGGTCATGGATATAACTCACATTGTGACAGAAGATTAAAAGTCCACCTATCAAATTTACCAGTCCCAAAACCAAAATGCTCACTGCAGTAACCCAAGATCAATATAATTAATAAGTTTAGTAAAAAATTAACACATGATTTAAGATAAAATCAATTGCATTACTCTAATAAAATGTGTTGGAAGCAAACACTCACATGTGGTGGCTCCGGCACCTGCTGCAGAAGACACTACCCCTAAACTTGTAATTGACTCCACTAAACCACCATGCACAATACTCTTCAAAAAATCCCATTCATGGACCTCCTGGTGAATGACAAATTCAGACGCTTCTCCACAACAAGCAGCTGACACTAGGATTCCACAATCCTCGTCCTCTCCCGATAGGCTTCCACTACTAGAAGATTTGGGAGCTGACATAGGATTAAAATGAAATTAAATGACATAAATACTCTTATAAAGCTAAAATAATCTATAACCTTTCTAAACTAACACTTTACTTCCTAAAAAATAACGGATTAAAGAATTGTCAGCTGACCTATGATTAAAACATTGAAACGACAGCATATAAAGACCCTTAAAAAGAGCTAAATATAATTGCATTCCATGTTGTGAAACAGACCAAAACAGTTTCTTATCAATACACATAACATTTTAAGACAAATAATCAATAATATGAAACTGAAAAAAATGAAATTGGTACACGATACCCATCGCTCTTGCAGTACGCTCACCACCAAAACTCATGGATATATGGAAACTAGAAAATAAAAAACTAATTAAAAACAGGTGGTCATAAAAGATAAAAATTTGTTAGTTTTTGATAAATTTTTTTTTTTTTTTTTTTTTTTTTGACTAAAGATATAGACAGATCATATATATTTAAGCGTATGCGTGCATGTGCGAATTTTTTATAGGCATTTGAACTGTGTGTGTGCGTTTGGTAGGCATATGAATGCATCTAGGTATCTATCATCCATTTCAGGTGCAGTACTTGAATAAGAATGTGGCGCCTCTTCACCATCCATTGCAGTTGATTTACAGTGTCCACCAACTATCTGCTTCTGATTTCCGATTTAAATCAGGTGTAGTTTGCTTCTCTATTACCTTCTCAACGTCAAATTCGGTCGTTTCAGGGATTTTGTCTTCAATATTTAAGTGAACATCTCATTTGTATCTAATCCATTAGTATTAATTTGACGAAGTCAAAGAGGCTCAAAATTTGTTATATTTTCTATTTCGACGTCCCTTGTACTATAGCTGATAGGCTTTCATCCTCGTCTTTATAGTTTATCTCATCAGGAATAGGGCCTGAAATCCACGCAGAACTTGAGCAAACAAAAACATTGACTTGAAGAAACTTGAAATGATTATTCAGTAGAACAAAGTTTGTAAAAGATAAAATAAAAAAATTAAGGCACATGCCTTACAGGATTGAATGTTTAAACTATATCTACATATATTTCGTGGTTAAGCAGTGTAAAGTAATTGTTATACAGCAAATACGTGATTATTATGTTATGATACATGCAAAAACAATAGTATATATACCCCTCTATTTGTGATTGGATGACAAACTCTTTAGTAACTGGAATTTGTTATACTGAGAGAGCTTGTGTTTAAGTGGCGAGAGAGGTAATTATTGGGTTTACCCAAAATAATATTATATATATAAGGAAAATAAAAGGCTATGATATCATGATGGAAGTTAAAATCTGAAATCTCAAGATACCAATATATAATGTATGGTGGGTGCGTGTGAATATTAGTGAAGTATGAACTTAATTCAGGAACGTTAGGCTTAAATATAGATTTCAGAAAATTAATATTAATCTCCGATAGTCAAAGTTGATTGTGCCATGTTCACATACATGGACTGGAGTTCAGTTGTATAAAAAAACGTAAGAGTCTCACCTGCAACTCTTACCGCTTTGACCATTTTTATTCCTGCTTACAACGGGCATTAAGAAGCAGAGAAAGAAAAAACAAATTTTGAAGAGCTTGACGAGGCTGCTGCTAAGTTTCCAGAAGGTAATACGTTATAGAAATAATAGAGTACTTAGTTTGACAAACACCAAATATATACAAGCTATTTAGTTATATATTATTATCATTACATATATAATGAACATTACCTCTTACCTCGTATCATTATTTATAATTGTATGTTTCCTCAGCAGTATTTTTGTCTACATAAAGGATTTCCTTTCTTCTATTACTTTTCCTTAGTTCCAGTCTTTAGTAACCTACATAATTCGCTTCATTCTACACAATGTTAAATTTTATAACTTTATATTATTTATTTAATTGGCACATGTATAATGACTTATTTTTAATTAGTTTATGGGGTAATTTTGATCAAAATGATAATTTTATTGGTAACAGTCATATTTATTATTTTTTTAATTTTTATTAATTGTCATTAATTAATCATATAACTTATCATTAATTTGGGTCAATTTCAACGTTTTCCACATGTGTATCGCAATATGTGGATCGCAAGTGTCAACGTTTCACATGCATCAACAGTTCTTTTATGTAAATATATTTTTAATAAAGATTGGCTCACACTTTAATCTTATAATTTTTTTTCTCACAATTTTGACATGATAGCTCACAATTAGATTGACAAAACTCATTGTTGGGCAAGTGTGATCCATTGCGAGCTGATCAATTGCGAACTGTCACATAAGAATTGTAAGAAAAAGTTTGTAAGATTAGGTTGTAAATATAATATTGCCCATATCTTTTAGTATAGAGCCTTTTGAAAAAATAAATAAATAAACACTTGAAATCTGTTTTGATAACATGTTTTCCTGAGATACTCAATTCAAGAATTAAGAAGTAAAAGAATATTGAGTAATGAGTAATGTTACACTTACAAAAAAATCTTACAAAAATATCCATATAAAGTGATGTGCTAAAAAATAAATGGAATAGTAAATATAATGAGTTTGACTTTTTGTTTCACTCCTTCATTCAGTTTTTACCATCTCACTTTGTATAAAAATCTTTATAAGTATAGTATTATTGAAGAATATTATAACCTACCCTTTATCCTAACTCCTTATCTTGTGATTGTGTTAGATGAATGAAATGATAACTTGATCATATAAAAAAGTTCTAAAATAGAATAATAAATTTTATCTTATAAGAAAGTATTTTGCAAAAACTAAAGACAACGTATTCTTTTTCTATTTTGTGTTATTTCTTTTTTAAATTTATATTTAAACAGGTTTTTCTACTTTTTTTCTTTTTTCCAGTTTTACATCTTCTTAACTTTTTTGGATTTAAAATTTTTTATATTATATAATTCAAACTATTGATACAAGAATTATACCAACTAAAGTGATCCGATTGACCTTAGCGGAATCGAAACGGATGTGTGTGTAATTAAAATTAATCAGCAATGCAATGTGTGTAAAATGCAGGAAATGTAAAGAATACAAATCGGTTTTTAAAGTGGTTCAGCAAGTTATAATCGTGAGCCTACAAGACAATATATAATTCTATGGCTAGAACAATTTGCTAACCATTTTTCTATAGTTGAAAGAGGTTTATATACAAGTTTTTTTTATAAAGGAAATAACGAAATTAAAGGAATTATAATTAAGGTTGAAATGAAACTTTGATATTCTCGTAATTGAGCGCTGGGATCACACCATTATTGTTGTTGATTTGATCTCTTTCGAAATATCCGGGATCTGAGCTTGTTTGTGATCTGTTTGAACAACTATCGAGATTGGTCATGACTAACTTATGCTGGGTCGAGCTATGTCTCAACGAGCTTATACTGGATCAGACAATTGCTTGAGCTGACCTGATTTTGTGTTGGACTATAACCTCATAAAACTCTAACTTCTTTGAGCTTGATGGAAAAATCACACATAATACAAACCCTTTTTGTTTTATTTTACTAGTTTTTAAATTTTTTTTTTTAAATTTAGAATTTAGTAACTATAACTAAAATTTACAAAAGGAATTATTGAATTGGCAAAGTATATACGGAGAGACAAACAATCAAGTGTGTAAGAATTAAGAAATGAAAATTACATTTGCCTTTCATGTTATTGATAAAATACTTAAAAGTGATGAAATAAATAAATTAAGTAATAATTAAACAATTTTTCCCTTTTGTTAATGCAAGATTTACACCAGCTAGAGTGATTCGATTGACCTTGGTAGAATCGGAACCGATATATGCGTGATTAATTAAAATCAGCAATGTACGAATTTAAATGCAGAAAAAGTAAAGAACAATGAACAATTTTTAAAGTGATTCAGCACCTACGTCCACTGTATTTCTTATTGCTTAGAGAGCTTACAAGAAATATTATAATACAAGAACAATCTGGTCAGAAAAGGCCAATCGTGTGCTGATTTGACCTTTTTTGACCAAATCCATCATAGATTTGGTTGGAAACGGTTAGATCTACGACCAAGATATGGCCGGAAATAGACAGATCAACACACAATTGGCCAGATCCAGTCGATCGTATATCATTACGGCATCGATGTTCGATGTCAGCTGCTGGCGGGTGATAGTGGGTTGGGTGGATGGGGGTATTTTTGTTAATTTTGAAACTTTTATTAAGAAATATAATTGTTAAATATTTTGAATTGAGTAAAATAAGATTAGATTTTGAGTTGAATAGAAAAGTAATTAATTATTTCATTTTCTCATGATAGGATAATAGAAGAAAACAGATAAAAATAATGTGTCAAACGCCCTGATTTTTCAATTCAAGAAAATTTCGGGATGCTTGGTTTACAGCCTGTAGCACTCCAATGGCCGTAAAATTTTGTGAGTAAACTACAAAAAATGTCACTTCAATGTGGGTTAATCTCTTCGAAATTAGAAGATGACAGAAAACACAGATTTTTGAGTACTATTACAGTCATAAACACTTTTCACTAATTTTTTCTTATGAACGCGACGTGTTAACTCGCATGAATCTTGTCTGACCAAACACATTACGAGTTACTAGATAGGGTTAATGAGAGATGTTATTTAGACTAGTATTATTGCAAATTTTTGAGTGCAAGGAAATTTTGGGACACCTACTTTGGGGGCCCACATTACTTTGATTGTACTCAAATTTTGCGAGCAAGCTATCCGGCAATTTCAATGCGGGCTAATCTCTTCGAAATTGAACGATTGTAAAAAACACTGATTTTTGAAAGCAGAAAAATTTCAAGTCGCTCGTTTTCTAGCCTCCATCACTACGTTTGCCCTTAAATTTTGCGAGCATGCTAAAAACAAAAGGCACTTCAATGTGGGATAATCTCTTCAAATTTGAACAATGCATACATTACTTATTTAATTTTTCCGAGATCCACCAAATCCTAAATTGAATATTTTTTTATGACTCATCCAGGATATATGATATAGTATACATAATGCAATAATTTTTTAGACA